TAACACGTCCTCACAACGTCCCCATAAGTGGGTGCCATTGTTCCATTTCACAGATGAAAGAACCAGTCTCTTTTCCCAGGTCATGCACTTGTAAGTGGCGGGCGGGGATTCTTAGGTCTTGGAAACCCGTGGCCTGTCCACCACACAGTACTCATCTCCCTCACTTAGACTACTGGACTGTACTCTTTAAAACGTCTCTGGAGTTGATTTTGCCTGTGCCTGTTGCCTTAGGCCTGAATTCTCCTGAGAGCCTCTTCTGCAATTGGTACTTGCCTCACACCGGTCTGCCAACTGCTGTTTCTTGTAGGCCATTTTACCACCTAAATCCCTCCATAGCTCTGCATTACTTTCATGTCAAGCCTAAAGGCCTCATCTGACTGACTTTTCTGGCTCCTGCTTTCTCATGGGGGTGGTTAGCCCATGTCCGTCCCTCCTCCTTCAGTCATCTTTTTTCCCACATAGAAAAATGGCAGACTTGGTTCCCTAGTTCCTAAGACCTATCCAGTCACTGAGTCCCAGTCTGAGACTCATTTCTCTGTAACTCTTTGTCCTGGTATTGTAGCTCACCTAACCTCTTGTTTAGTTGACTCAACCCAGTTCAGTCCTTAATATTTCTTCCATCATTTCATACATGTTCTTGGTCTAAATCTTAACATCTGTGCTCCATTGTGTTTCCTGGAGTCCAAGCAACCAGAAGATGCATAACCTTCAGACAATCCGTACAACCCAAAAAGGACTTGTTGCTTTATTTGGCAACATTGTTCAGGAATGGAAGCAACTTGTAATAAACATAAAATTCATGGAAGTTTTTGGGTATGGCTCATACCATACAAAACAGAAACATTTGTTAAATCTTAAAGATATTAAACTTTCCTAAAATAATTTAATCATCAGGGAGTAGAAGATTAACACTCATTTTAAAACCAAAAGTGTTAAACCAACTTTGTCATTTTTTTTCTATTTTTCAGTCCATAATCATATGACATGTACGTATTAAGCAGAGTCTGATAGCCTACTTATCATTTGTGATTATTAATTGCTATTAATTTGAGAAAATAATTTGTTCAGATTTGTAACATGGATGCTTCTGTTGCTCTTGGTAAAATGAAATTCCATTTATTTTCTTTTTCTTTAATGCCAGAGAGAGCATGTATATTGTGTGTGCAAGACAGTGAGAGTGGGCACCCCAATGGGGCCTACTCAAACCATAATCTTTTTTCCTCTAATTCTCCATCCCATTAGGATTCTGGGCACATGTGAGTCTGATGTATTTTTCAAGTTATTGGGCTGGGACTTGAACCCTTGTTGACCAATTGGGATCCAGCTTTCTCTGCACAGCACTTAACAGCTGCTCTATAAGGCTGGCCCAAGACAAATTTTTAAAGAGAATCTTACTTTAGACCTTTTGCATTTCTTTGAAGCCTATAGTATAGTTTTTGAATCTTATGAATTACAATAGTGTATCTGTTTTTGTTAAAGGAACTTTAAAAAAGAATTATCTATTTAATTTTATTTATTATTATTATTTTAAAAATTCACTATAGGGCACATGTGCTCACCAGAGAAAGTGAGAGAGAAAGAAAGCGAGAAAACAAGCCTCCAGGTCTGGGACTTGAGCCATAGTCAGCCATGTGGGAGTCCAGTACCTTAGCCACCATGCCACCTGCTGGTCCTATTAAAGGAGCTTTTAAAATATGAACTTAAATGATTTTGATTGGTTAATGCACTTAGTTTTTTTTTATTTTAGAGATTGTTTTTGGTGTGGACAGAAATCAGTAGACTGTACAAAGCGTATTTGTCTCTCTCCAGGAGTTCAAAAAGTCTAGAATCTGTTAGTCACTCTCTTAGCTTGTCATGGCCCCCTTCAGCCAAGTGAAAAAAAGTCCTGTTAGTGTTATGGGTGGTGATGTTCTAACTGTGCTTTCTTAGATTCTGTATTTGTCTGATTAGCATCCATTAATTACAGGGCCAAACTATGCAGTGATATTTCCATCTCCCTTGTGACCCAGAGCCTACACTCTGAGCCACCTACTTATCTAACTGCCATACGCCGGCATTTCCCCTGCCCAGGATCAGATACCCAGTAGAGATGTCCCCTACAGCCCAAAGCCTGCCAACGCTGTTCTAACTAGACAATCCTAAGCTGCCTTGCTTTGCCTTCAGGAAATACAATAAAGGCTCTGACCTGATGCTTTCCACTCACTGCTGCTGCCTCCTGATTAAACCCTGGTGCTTCTCTATGTGGCCCTGTGTGGTAGGGCATACCTCTTCCTTTAGGGATGTGTGAGCAATGAAAACCATTTTCAATGGCTTTGCCTTCTCTGTATTGTCCCTTCATTACCGTCACAAGTTAACCTCCTCTACTTTGTAGTGAATGGCAGGGTCACATTGTTCCTTATGGCTGAGGAATATTCCACAGTGTACATGCGCCACATTTTTTCATACTACATGCATACTTTGAAAAACCATATTGGGTGCTGTAGAGATGTATAACAATGAAAAGAAATCATTAAAATAATAAAAACAGAAACAAACCCTGCAGGTACAACTAGGATAGAGAACAATGCCATTTCCTGAGGTGGGGGGGGGGCTTTCTTTCTGTCTAGTGCATATGCATCCTTTACTGTGTCACTCCAGTGTATCTACTGGCCCTTGTCCTGTACTCTGCTCCTGTCTTCATGTCCAGGGCTTCAAAACCTATTTGACTATGCAGAAGATGTGCTAAAATCTGTCCATTGAAGAAGTTCAAAGTGGGTTTCATCCTCAGAGATGAACAGCTGGAGTTGAAAGAAATGTGGAGTGGGGGAGGTGAAAGGGATGGGAAGGGCAGGCTTTGATAGATAAGGTAGGCATAGGGACAGAGGAGAAAAGGTAAAAACTTAGGGCCACTGGCACCTCTTTTTTTCTTTTTAGGTTTTTGCCATAGGGTCCTCCAGGTCTGGGACTTGAGCCATAGTCAGCCATGTGGGAGTCCAGTACCTTAGCCACCATGCCACCTGCTGGTCCTATTAAAGGAGCTTTTAAAATATGAACTTAAATGATTTTGATTGGTTAATGCACTTAGTTTTTTTTTATTTTAGAGATTGTTTTTGGTGTGGACAGAAATCAGTAGACTGTACAAAGCGTATTTGTCTCTCTCCAGGAGTTCAAAAAGTCTAGAATCTGTTAGTCACTCTCTTAGCTTGTCATGGCCCCCTTCAGCCAAGTGAAAAAAAGTCCTGTTAGTGTTATGGGTGGTGATGTTCTAACTGTGCTTTCTTAGATTCTGTATTTGTCTGATTAGCATCCATTAATTACAGGGCCAAACTATGCAGTGATATTTCCATCTCCCTTGTGACCCAGAGCCTACACTCTGAGCCACCTACTTATCTAACTGCCATACGCCGGCATTTCCCCTGCCCAGGATCAGATACCCAGTAGAGATGTCCCCTACAGCCCAAAGCCTGCCAACGCTGTTCTAACTAGACAATCCTAAGCTGCCTTGCTTTGCCTTCAGGAAATACAATAAAGGCTCTGACCTGATGCTTTCCACTCACTGCTGCTGCCTCCTGATTAAACCCTGGTGCTTCTCTATGTGGCCCTGTGTGGTAGGGCATACCTCTTCCTTTAGGGATGTGTGAGCAATGAAAACCATTTTCAATGGCTTTGCCTTCTCTGTATTGTCCCTTCATTACCGCCACAAGTTAACCTCCTCTACTTTGTAGTGAATGGCAGGGTCACATTGTTCCTTATGGCTGAGGAATATTCCACAGTGTACATGCGCCACATTTTTTCATACTACATGCATACTTTGAAAAACCATATTGGGTGCTGTAGAGATGTATAACAATGAAAAGAAATCATTAAAATAATAAAAACAGAAACAAACCCTGCAGGTACAACTAGGATAGAGAACAATGCCATTTCCTGAGGTGGGGGGGGGGCTTTCTTTCTGTCTAGTGCATATGCATCCTTTACTGTGTCACTCCAGTGTATCTACTGGCCCTTGTCCTGTACTCTGCTCCTGTCTTCATGTCCAGGGCTTCAAAACCTATTTGACTATGCAGAAGATGTGCTAAAATCTGTCCATTGAAGAAGTTCAAAGTGGGTTTCATCCTCAGAGATGAACAGCTGGAGTTGAAAGAAATGTGGAGTGGGGGAGGTGAAAGGGATGGGAAGGGCAGGCTTTGATAGATAAGGTAGGCATAGGGACAGAGGAGAAAAGGTAAAAACTTAGGGCCACTGGCACCTTTTTTTTTCTTTTTAGGTTTTTGCCATAGGGTGTGCATGCTTGCCAGAGAGAGAGAGAGAGAGAGAGAGA